TGGAGATCAGTGCACTCACATTTTTTTTTTTTTGGTGATACTGGATTTGAACTCAGGGGTTTACACTTGCTAGGCAGGTGCTCTACTGTTTGAGTCAAGGCCACGGCCCATTTTTAAAATTTTTGTTAAAGAGATAAGATCTCCTTAACTTTGTCAAGTCTGGCCTCAGACAGCGATCTTCCTGTCTCTACTCCTGAATGTCTGGGATTACAGGAGTGCTTACCTGTATCTTTCACAATGACCACAGCTTGCCATCTTTCCTAAAGAGGACATGTCTGTATTGTAGTGGGTGGAAAGCAGCTGCCCTGGATTTGAAGGGGACCCCGAATCTCTTCTCCATACAAACATCCCTGGAGTGACAGTCCAGACAGAGCGAGGGGTAGCCACAAGACCTGCGGTTTACTGTCATTCACAGATGACAACCAAATACCATGTGCGTTTGAGCCTGGAGTGAAAAAGCAAATAGCTTTAAGGGATGCTGCTGAGAAAACTGGGGGAACAGAGACATATATGTCACGTCACCAACATGAAGCCCCCATGTGGAATGACCGTGTTGGTAGTCGGGGGCTGCCTTTGTCCCTCTGCAGGGGGCTTGGGGGTTCAGACGTGTCCTTGTGGTTATAAGTGAGTCACTGAGGTAAAAGGGCTTGGGTTTTGGGTTTATGTTATTCTTTCAACCTTTCAAAACAAAACTTGGGGGTGCCCAGCCTCGCCAAGAACACATAGCTGGCCGGTGGCTGAGTCTGGCCCTGGCAGCCTTCTTCTGTGTTTTTACAACACTCTGTCACTGACGTGATCCCCGCCTCAGCTTGGTTAAGTGTGCTGAGAACATAAATAGGGTTTTTGTTTACTGGAGCTGGGGGAAGCCAGCAGAAAGGGCCTTTCAGCTAGAAACTCCTTACAGCTCCAACGGGTGAAGCAGCAAGTTCACTGCTGGGAGCCTCTGGCTGTGAGCCCCAGAAGGAGCAGGGACACCCATCACTGAGCCAGGTCAGTGCCACCAAGTGCACTTATTTCTTGTGAAGCCCCAGGAGCCCTGGGCCACTCTGATGTGCACGGCCACCAGGAAGCATGGCTCAGGTTGACAGCCTGGGCTCCCTCTGCATTTCACTTCCTCTCCAGAGGCAGGAAGTGGAGATCTGGTGTCACAGTGGGTATTGAGGCCCTGGACCCCGGCTGGGAGGCTGCTGAGCTGGCCTGAGCTCAGGTAGACAGCTGCCCAGCCAGGGCAGTGCTAAAAGCGCAGAGGTGAGTCATTGTGACACTGAGCAAGAGCAGTGCACAAAGGCCCCCAGGCAGGACCAGCTACCGGGGAACCCAAGTTAGCAAGACTGGGAGGGTGTCCACTGTCTGGGTACTAGGGCCAGGCTCCACTCAGACACCATCCCAATGTCATGTCTAGTCCTGGGCCCTCAATGTCAAACATCCCTCATTCGAATCACAGTCCCCAGGACAGGTTGAATAGTGCCTGCCAAAAGCTGATGACAAAAAGCCCTCTCCCTCCTTCCCTTTCCACACTGTGTCCTCCCAGTGGTCATTTCAAACACTGAGGTTTTCATCCGCTGGCTCTGAAGTCCCTAAGCGCAGACAATGTCCAGGGGCTCACCAGGGACTGAGGGAGATTCAGCCCACACTGACTGAGTCCCCTTCCTTCTTCTGGTCCATTAAAAAGTGTACATGTGTCTTCAGCGAATACACACGTCTGTGTGCGTATGTGCACAGGTGTGTGCAAGTGTGCACGTGTACGCACGCACGTATGCACGTGTGCGCTTGTGTGTGGGGTGTACAAGCGCAGTGTACAGATGTGTGCTTCAGTGGCTGGTCACTGTACTGGCTTCACACAGTGAGGCGCTGGTCACTGGTTGAGAGCTCAGACCAGCTGAGCCTGGGGCTGCTCCTGGTGGTGGGCTGGGGGTCCAGCCCGCGCCTGGCACACCTCTTCACATACGCTACTTACGGGCTTGTGTTTGGTCCCAGCATATTTAGTCCTCTTTGGTCCCTCTTCTAACACCCCTGCTTAATGGCACAGAGAGGGCAAGCAACCCATCCACAACACACAGCCAGGGAGCCTTGGAGCTGGGACTACCACCAGGCAACCCAAGCTGCGCTCTCGTTTGCCAGGTTCAAGGACAGGGTGCCATCTGCACAGAGACCTTTGTGAGTGGTCCAGGAGCGCCCAGCCCTGCTCTCGGGAACGCTCATTCAATGCCATCCAGAACGAGCGCCTAACGGCTCTCGGTGAAAGAGCCTCTCTTCCCCCACACTCCCTTCCCCTCCCGCCTTTCTCTCTCGCAGCGCCCAGCATTGACAGGACCTGGGAACGTGTCCCTGATGTTTGGGTGCTGGGTGGTGGGGCACCCCAGTTACTTCCCTGTCTTCCCTCCCAGGCGCGGGCTTCACAAGTTCACAGGTAGATGTCTCCCTTCTCGAGGGTGTGTGGCATGGGGTCTCCATCCCTCTACTTCCTCCCGGTTTGGATCAGAAGCCTGCAGGGTCCCCCTGCCCCCCTCCCACAGCTTCCGAAGGGTCTCCATGAGCACCACTCAAGTCCTGAAAGTCCCCTTTTCCTCTGGCCGCACACTGCAGGGGACATGGCCTTCTGAGATCAGCCAAGAGCCTCTGCCACCCGCCAGCTGGGCTCATGGAGTTATGGAAATTTCGGCCTTTCCTCTGCTCTCTGACATTTGCAGACCATCTGGCCCTGTGAGAAGTAGAAGCTTGGCCAGTAATGGCTTTCCATCGACGGGCGGCCTCTGGCCTGAGGCAGCGCGTCCCTATGGATCAGAGGTCACGGTCACTGGGGTCACCTGTGTGTGCTGGACATTTGACATTTGCAGTATGCTCCAGTTTTTCCTGCTGGTTGGCACAGGGTCACCTCTGATGTTAGCCACACGGTCAGTCCATTCCACAGGAAGTTGTGTGGGCACAGAGAAAATTCCAGAACCCAGTGGGCAGAGGGGTGAAGGCCTGTCCTGTAAGTGGGAGTTTCTATCGGGTGTGAATGGAACAGAAGCCAGGATTCAGATAAGACAACAGAGGCCCTCGCTGGGACACAGGGTCCATGGCACAGAAATCAGGACAAGTGATTGTAGTGGCTTACAAGTCAAATGGATGCAGACAGTCCAAGATGGGCAAAATGTCCAAGTTTTCAGGGAAAGCCAGGAGGCCTGTGCCCTTCCAAAGCCAGCGCCATGTCTTACTCTTCCTTTGCCCTCAGTGGCTGTCACTACTAGAGGTTCACTGTCCACTGTGCCCTGATAAAAAGTTATCCTGGGCAGCCAGGCCATGGGCTCTTGGAAGTGAGGGCTGTCTGGTGGGCTCAGTCAGGGGGTGACTACGAAGAAGTGGAGGTCCACCCGATTACGCTCTGGACAGCACACTCCCCACTGCGTCCTGAGAGGGGCCAGCAGTTCAGGCCTCGTTTCTGGTCAGGTGACCCAGGGGCTGTGAAGGCCAGACTTGCTTAAGAATCCCAGCAAATGGGGTCTACAGCTGTGTCTCTTTTTTTTTCTAGAATGTCCCAGGTACAAGGCCTCTGGCTGCTTCAGTCTGGGTAGCAGAGGCCCTGTGTCCTCTCCTGGCTTACATGGACTCAAGGCTGAATGTTCACTTGACAAAAGTCTCCCCCCCAGGGGCTTCTTAGAGAGCCACCTACTGTCAGCCATGGCCCCTCTGCCATAGGACCTTGTCCCTGCTGGAATGTGATTAAAATGTCACCACCTCCAAGGGGTCCTCCCTGATTACTGAGCTGAAATTCCAATTACTTTCCATTATTCTAGCTTCTAGTACCTTTGTTAAACACTCAGCGCTGACAGCCCCCACCCTCTCGGACTGGGCGCTCCATGGGGGTAGGCCTGGCTGCCTTACATCTGGTTCCAGGTCTAGCCAAGCCCAGGGCACGGTGGTACTTGATTAACCTCAATGGGATGGACACTCATCCAAGTGGGTTTGGAGACCTGCCCTGACACTCCTCTTCCTGCCCCCCTTCTGGCCTGCAGACACAGTGCAGATGGAACCAGTGAGATGCCCACACGACTGTCCCCTCCCTCTTCCTCTGCTCTGAGCCACAGTTCTGGGCTCTGCCATGTCTCTACTCAGGAGCACCCCTGACTCCCTGTATTCACACAGGAGGCTAGGTCCCTGGCAGGTGGGTGGGCGCTGGAAAGGAAGGGACTCCCTGCTGGTCATTCATAAGAAATCCCAGGAAAGGGGAGCAGGTCTTGCTCTTGTGGGCAAAAAGGGACAGGACTGGCGGGACCCTCGGCCATTAGCGAGCCCTGCTAGGGAAAAAGACTTCCAGGAAGTGTCAACCCCCTGTCCCCACCCAAAGCTTCCACCCCCGGGCCCAGGGGACAGAGCGACTGTCCCCATGAGGAGCACGGCAAAGGGTGGGTCCTGGGCTGAACGGGGAGGACCCAGACGCAGGTCTTGAACCTGCGGCTCTAACAGCTTGCTCCCCGCACTGTGAGCGCCAGGTCTTCCAGCTTGGAGAAGTTTCTACAGATGCCAGGCGCTGTCACCAACGAGGTGAGGACCCTCGCGTGGCCCTAGGCTCGCACTGCATGGGGCGCCTGCAAATCAGCCTTCGGGGCCACCTCGGGGTGTCCCTTCGGGGTGGGTGGCGCGAGGCCCTGGGCGCGCGAGCTGCAGCTGGAGGTGCAGTCGCGAGCGCAGCCCACCACGAGGGGGCGTGGCTTGTGGGGACGAGGGGGCGTGGCTTTGCGGAGCGAGGGGGCGTGGCTGGCGGAGGCGAGGGGGCGGTGCTTAGAAAAGGAGGCGCGGGCCGGGGAGCGCGAGGCCGGTGGGGCGTGCGTGGGGCGCGGGGCGCGGGCGGCGGCAGCAGCAGGCGCAGGCGGCGCGGGGTCCCGGCGCGGGGTCCGGGGCCTCAGTGCCGCTCTCCGTTCCGTCTGCTCGCAGGTCCCGGGCCGGAGCGCGGTGGAGGAGCCCCCGCCCCCGCTCTCCCCGAGGAGCCGGAGGCCCGCGCCCCGGGCCCCCCAGACATGGTGGGCCACCTGCATCTGCAGGACATGGAGGACGGCCCGAAGGCGCAGGGCCGCGAGGGCTTGCTGGACAGCCCCGACTCCGGGCTACCCCCAGCCCCAGCCCCAGCCCGCCCTTCTACGCCCTGGCGCCCGGCACCCTGGACGCCCGCACGGGGGGCGCCGGCGTCTCCTCGGAGCCCCCCGGAGCCGGCCAGGCCAGAGCGGTAAGGACGCGACGTCGCGCGACAGCGGGGACCCGGTGCGGGTGGGCGAGGGCTGCGCGGCGCCCCCCACACCCCGACGGCTCCTACAGAGGACCGGACTGGCTTCCCCCTCCCTCCCTATCAAGACCGAGGTGGCCCCGCGACAGCCACGCTCGCCAGGTGGGGACCAGGGCCGAGGTGACCTGCAGACCTCCCCCTTGCAGAGGGGCCTCTCTCCAGAGCGGTTCTTCCGACGTTAAAATAACGGGGGGCTGTGGGGCGGGGTGCGGGCAGTGTCTGGGACTCACAAAGTTGGTCGCCTGGTAGGTGGACTCCATCTGCAGGCCAGGCATGGTGTGGGTATCCGTCCCCAGTCCCTCCACCGCTGCTGTCGCCAACACTGTTCACTGACCCAGTGCTGCCAGCCTGCAAGTTTTGAAAAACCAAACCCAGGCAGAAAGCCGCCCCTCGATGTTGAGGGGTGTTGACGTGGAGCAGAGGCGGTGCCCGGGGAGGGCTGGAGCCCCAGGGAGCTGCGGCTCTGCCAGACTCAGCCTGAGCCTTGCTGAACCCCGGTAGGGACCCAGCTCGGCAGCTGCAGAAGCCCGGATTGCTCCAGGCAAGGGGGCAGAGCGGGCCCTGTAGAAACTGAAGGAAGTCCCCTGGCTTTTCCCCCTGCCTGCTGGCTCTGCACGCCTTTTCTATGGACTGGTTGTGTACTGCCTGGCTCCACGTTCCTGGGGCCCCCTGGTATGCGAGGCTGCTACCTCACAGGGCAATCAGTGCCTCCCCAACCCCAGCTGAAAATCTGCCCACCCTCTGCAGAAAGAACGTCCCCTCTGCCTAAAGCCTAGTGACAAACGTTTCATGGATGCCTTCTCCACTCCAGTGGACCCCAACTTGGCTGCCCGCTGGAATCTCTAGAGAGACCTTTTACAAATACCCCCGCTTCCTCCCACTGCCAGACACTTTGGTTGAATTCAAATAGGGCACGACTTGGGCATCAGGACTTTTGAACAAACCTCCCCCAGGTGATTTTAATATGCAGCCAAGTTTGGGACCCTCTCTCTTAGACCAAAATCATGCAGTGAACTTGGACTTTGGTCTCTTTTGGGAGTTGGGGATGGGAGGTTCTCTGGGGATTTCGGGAGTTGTAGAGGTGAGAGGGGTCTTTTGCAGTGACGGTGACCTCGCATTCAGAACAGGCCAGGAAGGACCATGTCTGGGTGCTGTGGACCACCCATGGGCCTCCTTCCACAGGCACTCTGCAGGCCTCCTGTGCTTGCCAGGCCTGCAGCCACAGCCACACCAGCCGTCTGCCTGGCTCGCTTCTCTTGCCTCCTCTCTCGGCTCTTACCTGGCTGACTACACGCTGGCTATGAAACTGTGCAGCCCTGGTCTCTAAGTGTGGCTGGAAGTGAGGCCCAGGCGAGCTGTGCACAGGACAGGCAAGGACACCTGGCATGTAGCTAGCTTTCCTGTGTACCCCGGGGATGCCTGCAGCCCTCTCTTGCGTCTTGCCATTTAATTTTCACGACGTTCCTATGAGTGCATGCATTCTTTGTCCCCACTTTTCCAGAGGGGGGAAGCTGAAACAACAAGGTTAGCAGCGTTCAGAAAGCTGCCCAGCAAGAAAGTGACTGCTGAAGAAAACACCACAGGGAGCCTGGCTCCAGAGTTTGCTCTTGAATCTGATACTGTCTGGCCTACTTTTCACTGTAGAACGCATTCATTGCCTTTTAAATTTCTTAATAGAAAAACAAAATATGTATCTTTGAGGTTCAAGATACTGCTTGTAATAAGAAGAGAGGAAGTGGTTGCCACAGCAACCTCCAGCCCCGCCCACCTACCCTATTACCATCCCCGGGTGCCCCACCTCTTTGGTGCTAACCTGGTGTGTCCCTTGCTCACTTGACTCACTGAGTCACTCTAGACAGCCATGAGGAGAGGACAATGCCACTCTGCCCTGACCCTTGGGGCCAGTGGTTTCGAATGCACCCGGAGGAGGTGAGCTGTGAGCTGGGCCAGGTTTCCTCCTGTGTCTGCTGAGCATCCGTGTGTCATACCCTCCGGGGCTAACACCCAGCTACCAACACTGCCTTCCAGTCATGCCCTGTCCCCAAGCCCTGGCCACTGAGGTCTCCTACCCTCCCCCCCCCCTTTGTTGTAATTGGCTGGACTTCCTCTGGGCAGCGCCCTGCCGACATAGGCCATCCAGATGCTCCTCCCCTTCCCCCCACATAAGAGGCTTAGGGACCAGGCCAGGGACCCTCCCCCAGTCTTGGCCACAGCTTTCCTGCTCCCTCTTGGATCAGGAAGGGTTTGGGAAGACTCCTAAATCCAGTGAAGACCTGGGAGCCAGCGTTTGTTAGGCCAGTATTTACTGAGCACCTACTGCTAGCTAACCAGCATATAGTTGGCACCTACTGTCTGTCATGTACGGTTTGGGACCATGGGGGACACAGCAGTGAGCCAGATATTCAAGGTCTCTACTTTCATAGAACTGGTGTCCTAGTGGGGGGAAACATCACGGCTTAATAAGGTACAGGATGCAGTTATCAGATGGAGTGACAGCCCCTGGGGGAGACGTGTAGGTATCGACACTGTCAAGGACGTGATGCTGCATGAAACCTTGAAAAAATTGGGGAGTGAACTTTAGGTTTGTAGAGCTGGTGTGTGTCTTACTCCAAGAGAACGGTGAGTGCAAAGGTCCTGGGGCAGGAACTGGGTGGATGTGTTCCAAGAGCAGCAGGAGGCCAATGTGGCTGAAGCCCAGAGAGCAAGGGGAGGAGCCAGGCCAGGGCCTTCTAGGCTGAGCTGAGGCCAGAAATGAAAACTTCTTTCCGTGTCCTTAGGGTGTTCTTGTGACGTTTATTATTCAGAAGGTATCATATGAGCTCCCTGCTCCAGTTTAGAAACCTCTGCCTGAAAGGGTGTCTGTGAGGACGTAGCCTTTTACATCTTTGTGAGGGTGGGGCTGTTCTCCCATGTGACCCCAGGACGGCAGTGCTGGCCTGTGGAGGTGCCTGTTCCCCGCATTTCTCCCCGAGTTCTCTCATTCACAGACGCTGCTGTGCCACCGTCAGCTGCAAGCCTGCAGTGTTATCACAGGCAGGTGGGCATCCAGTGTTCCTTCTCCCTCTGCCCGGTCCTGTCTTCCAGAGCTGTGGGCCCCTGGGGGCAGACACCATGAGGAGAGGGTTGTGCTGGCCGTAGACCGTGTGACAGATGCCTGCTCTCCAAGGTGGCCAGCAGTTTGGGGAACTGGCAGGTCCTGTCCTCAGAGCACCACAGGTAGTGTTTGGGATCCAACCTGGGTGCCTGCTAGGGTGACAGCCTCTGTGCAGGCCGAGGCTTGGCCCACTGTAGGGCAATGACAGGAGGTGACAGGTAAGCTGTCACCGCCTCTGTGATGCACAGGCGGGTGTCCTGAGGCTCTGGCTGCACCACTGCACTTCTCCTTTGGCACACAGGGCCCGCCATCTCTCCTGGTGAGCTCATGAGTCGAGTGCCTTTGTAGCAGCCCATTTGAGGATGTCCGTAGGGGTGAGGGCTGCCTCCCCCTCATGCCGAGATGCCCCTGTGGGCCACATCCAAGTGGAAGGGTGGCTGGGAGTGGGTACCTTTGTCCTGCTTGACGTTTCATGGCTGTCACTTAGGACCTTGGCTGTCACCCTCAGGACACGTGGGTTTTCTCATCGCTCTGTTTCTGGCTTATGACAGTAAAACTGAGCAGAAGAGAGCAGGGCAGAGGAAGTTGGCGACCTGATTGGGAAGGACAGATGGACAGACAGATGGGTAGAAGGAAAGATGTACAGGTAGATGGCGAGGTGAATGGACAAATTAACGGATGGATGGAAGGATGGATGGATGGATGGATGGAGAGGTGAGTGAATGGATGGACAGACTGAGAAGATAGCCTCGCTCTCCCCCGGCAGGCTTACAGGTGTGTGGGTCCCTGACCCGTGAAGGTGTCCGAGCACTCAGGTGGGAGAGCAGGTGTCCTGGGGCAAGATGGCAGAAAGGGATGCGGAGAAGGCTGGGGAGGAACAGCAGATTCCCTGCTTCACCCCGCCTCGGTGGCCTCCAGAGCGTGTCAATGGCTTGACAGCCCTGTCTCTTGGGGCAGGCTGGCCTGTTCCAACTAGGCCTTATAGTAGCCTGAGTGTGAAGAAGACAGGCCAGCCACGCCCTGCCAGGGGCTCCGGAGCCCATGGGTGGGAGGAAAGACGCTGGGCCTGAGGTAGGGTGACAGCGACTGCATCCAAGTAACAACCCTGGAGGTTGAGCGCGGCTCTTCCATGGTCTGGCTGAGGATTGACCCAAGGTCCCAGTGGCAACCTTTGGCATGCCCTGACTTGTAGATACACCACGCTGGTCCCTGCCCCATCTTCATGTGGTCCTCTTCCCTCTGTTTGTCCCCTGGGTACAAATTTCCCCCCAACCTTTTTTTTTTTGCAGTACTGGGGTTTGAACTTAGGGCCTTGTGCTTGCTAGGCAGGTGCTTCACCACTTGAGCCACTCTACCAGCCCTTTTTGCTCTGGTTACTTTGGAGGTGGCCTGGACCTCAGTCCTCCCATTTAAAGCTTTTTGCCTTAGCTGGGATGACAGGCACGCACCACACCATGCCTAGCTCTTTCCTGTTGAGATGGGGTCTCACGATCATTTTGCTCAGGCTGGCTTCAAACTGCACTCCTCCTGATCTCAGCCTTCCAAGTAGCTGGGGTTACAGATGTGAGCCAGATTTCCCTCTTTAAGGACAGGGGTCATTGGATTCACCCTAATGCAGTCTGACCTCCTCTTTCCCCAATCACATCCACAAAGACCCTGTTTCCACCTGAGGTGACTGGGGTACATCTTTGTGGAGGACACAGTTGGCCTCGCCTGTCTGTCAGGCCCTCCAGTATGGGGCACCGCCCAGGGCATGCTGTTAATCATAGTTGGTGACTCTCAGCTTCCCTGGGGGGACTCTCAGACCCCTGTGGGGTCTATGCTGGGCCTACAAGGCTTTGAGGATCTTCAGGGTCTCCTGGGATCCGTGCACCCCTGTCACTGAGCAGCCTTCAGGCCTGCCCCAGGATCTACCAACAGCAGACAGGGCTTTTGTAAGGAGAATGGGGGCTCTTCAAGCTTCCATGTCTTCCTTGCTTCATTCCCCTCATGGGTGAAGGTCAGGGTCAACCTCAGCCCAGGCGGAGCTCTTTACCTCAAAATGCTTCCTCCACAGAGGACGAAGACAGTCAGCTTTAATTTAGGAGCAGCCTTTGCTAAGGCTCCATGTGGCTTTGGTGGGAATGCCTCTCCCCTGCACCAGGGTGGGGTCCCCCTGCTGTTTTGTTCTCCTCGGGAGAAGCAAGGGTGGGGGTCTGGGCCCTTCCTCCATTCCTCTTTCTCCATTGATGGGAGTTGGTTGGTCCTGACTGAAAGTTCATGGTGTGGTTTGTGGTATGACCTGGGCCTCAGGCCATGCTGCGGGGTGGTGTGTCACCTGGGCTGTGTACAGTGCCACCACACCTTCCTTGTGTGTCCCTGCCCAGCCAGGCTGAGACCCCCAGTCAGACAGGGCCGTCACCATGTGGCACCAAGCTCTCTAGGTTGATGGCCCATGTGCCAGCCAGGAAGACCCCTGCCAAGCCTCCAAACACCACTTACCATTGCCCAACTCCCGGGAGGGCGTATGAATCATTGGGCAGGCGGCCCTTGGCCTCTGGACCCCACTCCCTTCCTGCCTTGATCTCCCCAAACTCTGGCTGCCTAGGAGACCAGGGTGTTGTACGGCCCCAGCCGGGACCAGGCTCTCTGGGTCAGGAAAGAGCAGAGCCCTGGGTCTGGGCCAGGTGCATGGGTCTCTCCCAGTGGGTGGAATGTGGTGTCTGGGGGTTGGAGGCCTGGCCTTTGGCTCTCAGCCCATTTGTTCTTCCCTGCTCTGGCCTCTCAGAACTGCCAGGAGATACTGGGGCCCCCAGGAACCTGTGCCTCTGTGTCCCTGAAAGACCCTGGCCCTGGGGTGTGGGCTTCACAGATGACACACCTCAGGTTCAGACATCCATACTGAGGCACAGTGAACAGGCAGCTGAGGTGCTCTGTAGGTTCCCTTCAGACATAAGGGGACCCCTTTCCCACCCCTGATGCCCGTGGGAATGGGTTGTGTGATGGCTGTCACATACGGGAAGGGGTGACCTTTCTGTGCTCCTAGGGGACTTGTGACCTGTGGAACAGCTATAGTGGCAGCAAGACCCCAGAGCACAGCCTGGGGTGTGTCCATCCTGCATGAATCCCCTATGTGCCTCTCCTGTGACCCCCTGGCCTTGGTAGCCTCAGTCTCTGAGGGGTGTGTGGACAGGTGGTCCTGCCAGGCCCCAGGGTCCTTCTTGGCCGTAAGCGGGGCTGCCCCTGCCGGCTCTCCAGGCTGGCTGGATCCCCAGGCCTGGGCCTTTCAGATGTTAAAACAGCCCCACAGCAGAAGTGTGCAGCCTCTCATGGTGGCCCCTTGGTGGCCACCTTCTTCCCTTGGGGTCCCACCCTGGGTCCCTGGACCCCACAGAGGGAGCGCCCCCCCCCCCCGGGTCTGGTGTCATTCAGCGGTACGCTGGGGTGGGCGGTTGGGATGTTTTTCCAGTGGGGCCTTTGGAGAGCGGTGCCCAGGCTGCAGCTCTGCCCCGCTGTGAATTAAGCCTTGTTTGCTTGCCTGGCAGCCAGACGGAGCGACATCCGGCCGAATGCAGGTCAGCTGAGGCCCAGGCAGGTGGCCTCAGGAGACTTGAGCCATGTCTTTATTTCAGATAGACTGAAGAGGGACAGGGCGGCCCAGCTCTGCATGGCACTGGAGGCTGGGGACTCGGTCTCCCTCGGGAGGGCAGCAGCCCCTCTCCACCTTCTTCTGCACAGAAGAGCGGCCTCAAAATCTTCACACCACGTGCATGTCCCCTTCCTCCCTTCTTCTGTGGTCACACGTCACCTGCTCTTGCAAGAGAAGCCCACACAGGAGCGGGGCACAATAAGTGCTCTGCAAACCCCTGTGCCTGGGGAGAGCACAGGCTTTAGATAAACAGTAAACTGCAGTCACAGAGCCTGGTGGCTGGAGTCTGTTGATGCAGTGATGCGCCACGGAGAGCTAGCTGTGAGTTTAGCTCTCTGTGGCCCCAGAATGGGCACCAGGTGAGAACACGGAAGCCTGGAGGAACAGGGTCCCCACAGCGTGGGGTCCCCTGATCATCTGTAAATGTGAACTACCCTTACCCTATACTGAGTGCTGGGGTGTGGGAAGACAGCCACCTTCCCGCCCTCAAGGTGTCACCACCATCCAGGTAGGGTCAGGAATAATTACCTGGGAATAAATACAGCCATAGCCCAGCCATAGTGGTGCTGAGTGAGCTGTGGTCAGGGAGCCCTTGCTGCTGTGGGTGGTGTCCCCCCACTTTTGTGGCACACAGCACCATGGCCTACAGACTTACTGATGGTGGCTCAAAGCTGTCCCATCCCTGGAGAGCTGCCCTTGGGGAGAGGGGTCTCCTCCCACCAAGGAGGGGACAGTGGGGAACAGGGGCTGCTGGCTTTCATGCTGGTCCCCCTGGTGCAATACACACTCCCGAGCTCCTGTGCGTCTGGCTGAGGCTGGTCACAGCTTCAGAGGTGCTTGCTGGGCTGTCCCCTGCTCGGTCCCTTTCTCCATTCTCCAGTGAGGATTCCCCAGAGAATTAGTTTTATAAGAACCCCAGTTCTGGTTCTGCCCCTTTCTGGACAGGTTTAAACAGAAAACCTGTCACCCATGTCAGGCCAAGGAGAGGCCAAGCCCAGTTATCCCAGAAAAGGGAGGAGGGGGAGGAAGTAGAGCAATGTTCTGGTCCTGGGATATCTTAGTGTGGAGGTCTTGATCCTGTAAGACGTACCAGGCATGATCAGGCGTGATTAGCTCTCATTGTTGCTTCATTTCCAGCTGGGTTTTCCTGAAGGATGGCGGGGGGCAGGTTGGCCATCTACCGGCTCCCTGCTTAGCCATTTTAGGGTCTTGTCTGGCAGAACACCGGGCTTGGCCTCTCCTTGGCCTGACATGGGTGACTAACCACTGCCCTTGGGAAAAGGCAGTGCTGTTTCCAGAAGTTGTGGTGCTAAGAGGCAAAGTTAGGGCATGAAGCTCCCTCCTGGAACGGTGGCCATTCCACCTGGCTTCCTGCACTCTCTGGAGCCTGGCCAGCTCTTCTGCTTGCCTTTCCTCCGGCAGGAGTGTCACAGCCAAGCCAGGAAAGGTGTTCACCTCTCTGGAGGCTGCCCAGCCTTGGGTGGCACCTGGAAGTCTGGGAACCCTTTCTGTAGGGTTAGCGATTTTCAGCTCCTCACATGGCACTGACCGCAGGCACCCAGGGCTCTGTGCCTGGCTCTGGGACTTCGCGTGGCCTGATGGATCTGGGAACTGGGGCACAGACTGGTGGACGGGGAGCTCAGGTTCCAGGTGGGTGTGCTGGGTGGGCCAGCACAGAGGGACCACAGGAGGACCCTGGGGTGAGCTCTAGACAAGCCCCAGCTGGGAGGTGCAGCCCAGACCTGTGGTGCCCAGCAGAGGGCTGTGGCTGGAGTGACCCCGTCCATGCCTGTCCCCGCAGGCCCCTGCTCTCCTGCAAAGCCCCGCGGCGCCCGAGATGAGGCCCCGGCTGCTGCCCGTGTTCTTCGGGGAGAGCATCCAGGTGGACCCGGAGCCCGAACACGAGATCCGGTGAGTGGGGTGGGGCAGGCGCTGGTCCCACCTCCCTGAGGTGGGTGGGGCCTGCCTGGGCTCACCAGGCTCCTCCCTCTACACAGGCTCCTCCCTCCCTCCGTGCAGGCTCCTCCTCTGGTGCCTCCTCCTGCAGGGGGTGGGGCCATTCCCCCTGGGGCCCCTGGCCAGTGCCTCCCAGGGGCACAGTCCTCCAAGGGTGCCATGGGGACCTTCTGGGAAACCTTTGAGAGGTCTTCAGCCCTGAGGGAGCTGGCGTGCGCGACCTTGGCCATGTGCGCATCCCCATGCGCCCTTCCCCAACATAGGAACAGCCTCGTTCCAGCGACACCCTGACTTTGAACTCCAAATACTTCAGCCTATTTCCTAAGAACAGGGACAGCTCTTCTGTGACAATTTGGCTCTCAGAGTCTTGAAATCCCCTGTTGCATCACCACCACCTAATGGACGTTCAAATCCAGATTTTTACCCATTGCCCCAATGACGCCCCTTTTAGGCCTGTTTTTTCCCCTGAGGATGCTACCATGGTCACAGGTGGCAGTGTAGTGAGTGGGCTCGGTCCACGCAGGACCGGCCCCTCAGCCTTTCTTTACCTTCCTGACCTTGACACTTCAAGGTCAAGCCGGGGGATGGGTACGGCTGTCTTGGAGTGCCTTCCTCATGGTCACCCCGCGGCGGCCGCCTCACCACCTTTCTCCTCGCCCTTCCCAGCTGCAACTCTGAGGTCACCTACGCCTCGGAGAGACACTTCCGCGACAAGGTCTTCTACGCGCCTGTGCCCACGGTCACGGCCTACAGCGAGACCATCGTGGCGGCGCCCAACTGCACGTGGCGCAGCTACCGCAGCCAGCTGACCCTGGAGCCGCGCCCGCGCGCGCTGCGCTACCGCAGCACCACCATCATCTTCCCCAAGCTGGCCCGCAGCTCCTTCCGCACCACGCTGCGCTGCAGCCTGGGCCGCCCGCGCCGCTCCTTCTCCGCCAGCCTGCGGCTGCAGCCCTGCGGGGACCCCGCGCCCGCGCCCGCCGCGCTCTGATGGCCTGGAGCCTGGGCCTGGCCGGGGAGGTGCAGAGAGCCCAGCGGGCGGAGCAGCGGGGACCCGGCAGCCCCTGGCCTCCTGCCCCGGCCACAGGCTGGGTCGCCGTCACTGTGCTCCAGGCTCCAGGACTCATGCATCTGTTTCACTAACCTGACACCAGCCAGGCCGTGTGGGCACCGTGGCTGTGGTGGCCTCAAGGTCCAGGGACAAGAGTACATGCGTCCTGGTGTGCCCTCAGAGCAGAGAACCGTCAGTGCCACAGGGCAGCGCCTGACTCTGAGGCTGGGTGTGAGGGAGGAGGGTTGTCCTGCCACCTTGCCCTGGCTCCAGGAGGCTGTTCCCAAAATGAGTCTTTTAAATGTGCACTCACCCCAGCCACAGCCCTACATCTACAGGGCTGGGCCACCTGAGAGCCAGCTCAGGGGGACTATGGATGGGCAGGGCAGCAAAGGCCATGTAGGGGCAGGGGAGCCTGGAAAGGGCCCTGTGGCCTCCAGTACAGAGGTTCAGAGCACCACCCTCCAAAGGGAGGTCTTTGGACTCAGCCTCTCCCAAAGGATGTCCCCAGCCAACACTTGTGCACAATACCCACGGGCCAGAACTCTGGAGCCTCAAAGCCTGTCTGCTAGGTGCCCACAGGAGGCATTGTCACGGGAGGCATTGCCCACCTGCCTGAGGCCAAGTCTGGTCTCAGGGCTCTGAGCTCAGTGCTCAGCTTAGAGAAACAGTGGGGGCCCGGGCTGCCTCTCGCAGCCCCTCATTCCCACCGGGACAGATTCTATGACCTCTTGTGTTCTCTGAATGCCCAGGTCCCCGCTGGGGACGTGTTGTGGGAGTTAGATGAATGGGGAGAGCCTCAGCTCCGGCTTCCTGGGATGAGTGGGTTTTCTGGGGTTTGGGGCACCCATAGCCACTGAACGGACACTCCCAAAGGCCAAGGGAGACGTGCTTTTGACCTGAAGCCCCCTGTGGTCAGGGGCTACCTGCTACTCCCCTGGCTGCCCAGGAGGGAGGAGGCCCTCCATGGAGTCCAAGAAGGGCCACTGGGAAGTGACATCTGAGGCCAGGTGACTGATATATTTTTCTATGGCTACGCAGCGCACCAGGGGTGCTTGTGACTAACGAGTAACTTAAGAAACCCGTGGATTATCTTAATAAAATGTGCAAACCCAGAGGGCCTGCTGTTTACACCCAGGGACAGGGAGGGACTTAGCCACACCTGTAGATGGTCTCCATGGGTGCCAGCCCCACACCAAGAGCTAGGAAGGAAGTGCAGAGGCCGGGGTCCTCCCGGAGGGGTGGACAGTGTAGGAATTTGCTTCTTGGGGTGGGGGGGTCTGCTGTGGACAGAACCCTGGCCTCCTGAATGCTAGGCAAGTGCTCCACTCTGAGCCACACCCCTGACCCTGGAGGCTGCACTTGGTGACCTCCTGGGCTCTGCATTTCCTGAGGATGTTGGTCCTCCAGCTTGTCTACTTGCAACACGGTGGGTTGCGATGACAGCAGCCACCCTCAAGGTCACACGCACCCTGATTTTCCTCTGGAGTCACTTGTCCAGGTGTCTACATCCTGCTCCAGCCCTTGGGGAGTTTCCATTCCCTAAAGCAGACTGCACGTGGTGACCCCAGCTGCCTGTGTTGTCCAGGTGTGGGTGACAGTTCTTGCCACTCTCCCCCACCAGACAGGCAGGTCTCCATGTCTCCAGAGTGGTACCTGCCACTCGCTCAGCCCTGGAGGGTGAGGCTGACTGGGGGATGACCTCACAGTGGACCAGATTCCCATCAGGTCACTTCTTTAAGATGTATGTGACAGGGATGTGAGGGCGATCTGGCTGCGACATCTGTACCCCATTGATCACCAGGGTTGATTGGGCTGAGCTGGCTGGCTAGGCGGGTGTCCCCTTCCTCCCTCACCGCTCCACGTGCGTCCCTCCTGAAGCTGTGCGCTCTGTCGAAGAGGACGACCATCCCCAAGAGGAGGACCGCTCTTCGGTCAAGGGTGTACGAGTAGCCGCGGCTGCCCGGCTAGGACCTCCAAACAAGCTCCCGAGATGTGCGCAACAGGGGAGCCTTGCAAATCCACTTGGCAAATTCCCTCCCCGTGCTCTGCCCCCCACTACCTCGCGCCTCTTCTGTCTAGAGCAGAGGAACAAGAGGCACCACTTCGCCGAAAGGGACATCTCACCTACTCTGGGCCTGGCCCTGCTGGGAACAGTTTATGAGTTTAATCTGTTTGCAGGCCCCAATGACCCCGTGAGGGCTGGGGAAAATCTCCCAGGAAACACGGGGCCCTGGGACACCCGGGAGGTGCTGATGGAAGGTGGCTGTCCTGGTGGCCATTGCTAGGACCCCACGGCTCCTGGAGGGGCCATAACAACCAGGTTTTCTTCCGTGGCCCTTGTCTGGCCCGGCATGGCTAGAGAGCCTGTGGATCTGGTGCTGGGGACCAGCGTACTCCTGCCCCGGCCACCCACGGCCTTCCTCCCTCTGCCCCGTGTTCCTTGCCTCGCACACGATCTGGTCTCACACACTCAGAAACAGCGTGTGAGTGAAAGAAGCAGACAGTGCTGGGCGAGGAGGCACCTCCTACAGATGAGGAAACGGAGGCAGAGCGGCCTGGGGGCTTTACCAGGAGAGTGGCTGGCTCCACTGCCCCTCACTTGCCACCACCAGCCCTTGAGTCCTGCCGGCCCCAGGCCCCCTTGGCTCCCCACCGGCTGTGGTAGCTGGGCTGGCCCAGCACCCTGGCCGGCCCAAGCTGCCTGGTTTCAAACCAGCCAGTTACCTGCCAGAACAGCCATTTGTCCTGTCCCCAGTGTCTGGACCCCACCCTGTGCTGGCCTCACCTCCCAGCCTTTCCCACACAGCTACCTCTGCCCAGCCTGACTCTCCCTGAAGATCTGCCACCTTCGGGAAGCTCCCCCGTCCCTCCACCCTGGCTGCTCCTAGTCTGTGTCACCCAGGAGGGCTTGTCCTGGGGTGGCCCTGGGCCTTGGGGACCTGTCCAGTCCTGCCTGTACAGAGCCTTTGTGGACCTCTGGTCAAATGGAGAGCAGGGCCAGGTTCAGGTTCAGTTTCAACCTTTGATGCCACCGTGCCAGGTGAGGGCTGCACGGTCCACCCCCCAAACACCTGGAAACAGGTTCCAGCCCCTCTCTGCACACAGACCACCGACTGTTCAGATGGGCACAGGCGTCTGCATTCTAACCAACCACTGGGTCCTAAGTCACGGTGACGTGTGTCAACCACTGTCCTTTATCGTACTTGCTAGTCCTCATTCCGCTCAGCCCCACACAGTTGCAGGAGACTCAGAACAAAACACAAAGTCAGGAGGGAAGAGAGAGGTGTTCTGTCCCCCAGGGGCTGGCTCTGGCTTGTATGAGCCAACAGACGCAGGGACTTCTTAGTGGTGATAATGCCCCAGCTGGGTTTTGAAGCAGGTATAGGAGTTTCCCTGGGGCGATGAGGGTGAGGGGAGTGACATAAACCTCCACTTTGAAAACAGAGTGAGGGAAAGTACACAAAATGGGGCCTGAAAGTCTCTTTGGGGGTTGAGAACTGGCTGGCTGCAGCTAAGGGCACCAGGAAGACGTGAGCTCTCTCTCCACTCTGCCCCCCCCCCCCCCGCCCGTGTGCTGGGTGTGGTTCACAGGCTTCAGAGGAGGTGGACGGAGGTGCCAAGTGGCACTGGCACTACGAGACAGAGATGGGGCTGGCTAGGTGGGCGGAGACTCACCCATGTACCTCTGGTGTGGCCATGGGACCCAACCCCGTCTGGATTCCAGGTGGGGTGGGTCTGCGCCCCCAGCGCCGGGACAGGACTGGTGCCGGCCCCACACTGCCACCTGCCTGTCGGCTGGTGAACTGCAACCTGGGTGCAACAACAGACAAGGTCACGTGGACACAGACAGCACCAGGCCTGGAAATGTCGCCTTGCGGTTGGTGGTGAGGCTCGCAGAGCAACCCAGAGGTCCCCAGCGCTGCAAACGCCCCCCACCCATATCTGTGGACCTCCCAGGTCCCCAGCCCATGGTCAGCCAAACCACTGGCGCTCACAGACCACTGGGGAGGTGGGACAGAGGACAGCAATTCCTGCCTCCAGTGGACCCAGGTCCTCCCACTGTCCCCAAGATCTGCGGGGTTGGTCCCTGCAGTGCTGAATGTGAGGTTGTGGTCAGACACCTACCTGCACAGGGCAGGGACTGGACTATGGCCACGGCCACAGGCGAGCCATCATCAGAACTCTCGGGCTGTCCCAGCCGTGTGAACAATGTCCCTTTGGCCAGGCTTGGCCTCCAGCAGGGCTGGGGCAGGCTGACAGGTAGCCTCCAGGCTGCTGGGGCCCGGAGGCTGAGGGATTGGGTGAGGCTGGCCTTGGTCGACTTGAAAACACCAAGCACAAGCAAAGTGCTGCTGTCTTTGGGGTCACCCTCCCAGCCTGTCACCCCAGGCACAGACCCCAGGAGTCTGCCTCTCCTGCGGCCAGCTGTCCACAAGCCTGGCCATCTTGGGGATGAGGGAAGGGGAGCCTTGGAGGCCATACCAGGGCCAGTGCTGTTCCTGGACCACGAAGGGCTGAGAGGTGACTACAGGGCCGCTCAGACCTGACACTTGCTGCGTTGGAGGTCAGGCCAGCACAGGTCAGAAGCTCCAGGTGAGGGCGGCCTCCTTCCTCTGAGTGGACAGGCAGTGGGCACCAGAGGCCCCTGGCACCTGTGCCTGCTGTGCCAGGGGACAAATGAGGCCTCTCTTACCCTGTCTCTGGGGACAAATGACCAGGGACAGGCTGGGGTGGTAGGGGGTGGGGAGAGCAGGGAGCTCAAGGACGAGGCAGTGCCACTGAGGCAGCAAAGGCTGGCTGCACCCTCTCGGGCTCCACCATCTTTCTCCAAAGCAAGTGGGGACTGAGTCTGACTGTACCGCGCCGTGTGCGCAGCGGGATGGCGTATTCCACCTGATCACCCTTGGGGACTGGCACCCACCGCCCTCATCATGGGTGTGTGTCTCCGACACGCTCACCACGGGTGTGAGCACCCACTGCCCTCAGGGTGGGGGGACGGCGCTCCCACTGCCCTCGTCCCCAGTCGCCTGCCCTGCTGGCTGCCCAGTAGAAACCAGGAGAAAACCTGGGACGTTGAGTATAATTCGCCTTTTAATCAGAATGCGTGTAAATGACAGAACACCGCCGCCGTGCACAGACGGCGGCCACAGAATATGCGTCAAATTCATTCTGCCTAAGGAAGGGAGGGAGGGAGGACACGGGGCAGGGGGGTGGCGAGCCGGTGCCACCAGCCCTCTGTCCTGCGGACGCACGCCTCTGGAGCGGTAAGCGGAGGTCAAAAGCACAGCAGTAATACTGGGTAAGTCCTTCCTCGCGAAAAACATCTGAATTAATTCATTGAAGGTATCAAAAATATACCCTGTAAACCAATACATCATTTACACCTGCCTCCTCGCCCACCGCGCAGCTGCGACGCTCCCAGGGTCCACTTCCTCCAGCACCTGTGCGCCCCAGGCCGCACCTGGCCCTGTTGCCCGCCCGCCTGGTCTGACTTGGCTCCCAGAGTCTCACCGGCTGGAGCAGCCTGTGGGGGACTGTGATGACTGTGTTGGGGGCTGGTCAGGGCCTGTGTCCGTCTGTCTAGAGTGCAAAGCAGGATGGGAGGCCGGGGGAGGGGGCAGGGGCTGCTAGCTCGGTTTAGACTTTGGTTCCAAATGCATCAGGGGGCAGGCAGTGGCATGGAGGTGCTTCGGGTCCCTGGATGCCCTGGCCCTGGCCACCCTGGCCGCACGTGAGCTCACCACACTCGCCACGCCCTGATCCTGGCCCGCTGTCCTACCTCCCTCTCCCTCCCTCTCTCCTCCCGAGCACCAGGTGTACATCCCCTGAGTGAGGTCGCTGCACAGGCCAGCCAGGGGCGGGGTCTTAGTTAAGGCTTAAGACAGGCAGGATGCCAGCTCTGGACGGACGGACGGACGCGCAGGTGGACTCAGGGGCTCCTTCCTGGGCGGGCAGGGTGAGGGTGGGGGGGTCGGCAGCGCCCACTCCACACCGGGCTGCTCCTCCTGGAGCCCTTGCTGGGCCCTGGCACTGCCCTGTGCCCCGTGCGGTTGTGGAGTCACTCGCTGTCTGACAGCGTCTCGTACTGTGAGCACAGCAGAGGCTTCGGCTCCTCGTCCCAGGCGTGGTGGGGGCCGGCCAGGGGCCCACTGCCTGCAGAGAGGCCGGGCGGGGGTGGGGAGGCCATGACGCCCGCCTGCAGCCGCATGATCAGGGGGTTGTAGGGGAACGGCGTGGAACCTATGGGAAAACGGGGATGCGGCTTGAGAGGGCTTGCACTGGGCAGCCACCGCCGGCCCTGCCTGCCTGCCTGCCTGCCTGCCACATTACAGCAGGGCTTCGGCCTCTTTGTCCAGCACCACACTGGATCCCACAGACAGCCCCAGTTACCCTGCGTCCCCCACCTGCGCCCTGGTGGGAAGCTTCCTGGAGACGGGTGTCCTCTCCCTCCCGACCCCCTGCTGTCCCCGCGCCCACCTGCGGATGAGGGTCGGTCCTCCCACACGCGGTTGGTGAGTGGTGTCCGGCGGTTGCAGTCGCCCTCCGAGTGCACTGAGGAGACGGAGGGAGGCCGGTCTCCGGACACCAGGCCCGGGGCTGGGGACTTGGCTTTTCGGCTGCTGGGTCTGCCAGAGACCTTGGCCTTCCCGCCACCACCTGCAGGGGGACACAGTGGGAAGGGGCCGCGTCGGGTGGCGAAGGGACCACTGGCACCCCGGTGGGGCTGCAGGCTGGGGGCGGCCTGGGTGGGCAGTGCCCTGCCACAGGGAAGCCACCCGCCTCCTGGGCCCTGAGGGTGGAGGCAGTGGCACGTGTCCTGTTCCCCAGGAGGCTGAGATGGCCAGGAGCCTGGAGCTGTGTCTGGGGACGGGCCTTGGACTGCTGGCCACGCCTGTCAGGCTTTGCCATCCACTCCCCTGGGGCGCGGCCCCGGAATGGCACCTGGGCTTGGCAGGCCACAGGCCTCTACAGACAAGTGGGGCCCTGAGGCCAGGCCCGACCCCGGCTGGAGTCCAGTACTTCTTGGCGCCTCAGGGTCCAGACTGGACAACTGAGCCCACGATCTCTTCGCTTGTCCCCTCCCATCAGCCTGAGGGCCAGTGCTGGACACCCACGGCGGACCTGGCTACCTACTACCCTATCCATGCAGCGGGCGGGTCCTCCCTCCCTAGCCAGGGCCCCCACCCCAGGAGCCATGGCTGGGCCTGGACACGGGCGGGGCGAGGCAGGGGAGGAGGCGGGCAGGGCGTGGGCAGCGGTGTGAGTGACCGAGGAAGCAGCAGCACTCGGGGCCACGTGGGTAAGGGGGAGGGGGTGCCAGGGTGACGCGACACGGCCTCGGCCGCGTCGGATTAGAAACTCGAGAACAATGTGAAACTGAAACGCACACAAAAATAAGTGACAAGCTCCAAAGCTGGGGGCGGGGGACACGGAGGCTTAAGGACATCGGGGGCAGCCGGGCGGGCGGGGGAGGCCTGCAGACCTGGCGAGGTGAGCGCGTGGTCGCTCCGTCCGTCAGCAGCGGTTATGGGCAGAGCGGCAGCGGGCAGGCCGGCACGGACGCTCACAGCGTTAAAAGCATTGGTGCCGAGCGGCGGGGGCTCCTCCCACTGATCATATTTACCCATGAGTGCCTTTCTAATTATGGCCTCCAGCCCCATGTTGGTGCCGCCATGCTCCTGCACCGTCTGG